GTACTTTAGTAAAGTCAAAATTTTCTGAGAAAAAAAGATGTTCTTGGCAGAGAATAAAAGACAAACTTTTTTTTTTTTTTTTTTTAGGATTTGGGTGAAGATTTACAGAGTAAATTCACTTTTCATACAGCAGTTCATATATACTTTGTCTCATGTCATTGACCAAAATTTACAATGCAGCAGCTCCCCTCCCACTTCCTCCCCATAGTTACCTCCTCCCAGTGTCCATCCCTTCATACTCTTTTGCACCCTGAGCTATCTCCCTGTGCATAAGCAGCCCTTCCTTCTCCCATGATTGTTCTCTCCAGGGCGTGAAAAGACAAACTTTTTGAATAAAAATTGTTTTGCAATATCTGAGCTATATATAACCATGTCATTGACATCTCTCAGGTCATGAACAAAATAGTAGAATAACCTAGAAGTTTCTACTTTAATCCCTCTCAATGGAGGGTTACACAGAGATATAGAGTTGAAGAAATAAGTAAATGTAGGAAGAGTGGAACTGAGACAGGAAGTCATATGGAACTGCATCACTCACTATCTAACATTGCCCTTCGTTCCTTTGGTTCTCATCATAGATATCCACGTTTCTTCCATTCTGGGAATTTCTAACAATCCTTGTACTTAAATAATATACTTATGCATATGAATGTTCATAAACTATACTAAAGTATTCTTTCAATAAAATTTAGTAATGGTATATTTTGCAATTTCCAAAATTATCATATACTAATAGAAAGAAGTTATCATACTATTGTGCCCCAAACAAGTCTATATCCTAATCCCCAAGACCTGTGAATACATTGTTATATGACAAGGAGGGGTTTAAACTTACAGATGGAATTAAGATCACTAATACACTCACCTTCAAATAAAGATATGACCCTGGTTAATCCAGGTGAGACCAATGTAATCACAAAAGTTTTTTCTTTAAAGTGGAAGAGGGATGTAGAAGAGGAGGTCAGAATCAGTTCAGATTCTGATGATGAAGAAAAGGGGCCATGAGCCAAGGAATATAAGTTACCTCTAAAAGCTGGAAAAGTGAAGGAAAATTAATTGGGCTTTAAAATTAGCAATGAGAGAATTTTTTTTTTTTTTGTAATGTTTTTTAAAAATGAAAATACATCTGGAAATTAAAGCTCATTGATAGGTTCATTTTTAGTCTCAGAGCTGTGGAGCTGACTGTGGAGCAATACTTTGGGGAAAGTCTTTCCCAGAGGTCATTAACATTTTGCATCATTCTCTTGAAATAATCCTTATAAGAAGTAAAGAGAAAAAAAAAAAAATATATATATATATATATATATATATATCTTACAA